ATTCATATTGTTAGAATTTTTTGTCATGAGCATGTGTCCGTGTCTCATTATTTTTAAAGAAAATACTGTAAAAGCTTTACTGTGAAAAAAGAAAGGAACAGTGAGGCTAGCTAATTATACCATCATGCAACATCCTGCATTCACAATGAATATGTTGTGAGCACAGCCAAATATAATCAAGGAATAAAATGAATTAGAAAGGTTATAAATGTACTTACCCACCACACACCTGGAGTGTAGAGAATTTGGAAGCATCCAAATCATTGCCACTTACTATTCGAGCCTTAAATGAAGAATGAGAGAAAACAAAGCAAACAGGTTTTTAGCATACTACAGCTGTTTGTACTTGAATTTGGGACATGGGTCAACTGCACTACACACGTAACACCTAATATGACAGATGCTAAGCAGGGTCAGCTCCAAGTCAAAGCTACTGTGTTTTTGTGAGTGCAAGTTTTGAAATTAGCTGTCAGCATTTAAACAAAAGCACTGGCAGAGTCCAGGAAAATATATCATATTCCAAATACTATGTGCCCTTAAAACTTTACATGTGCAGCGAAGATCATGAATCACTCAGGAAGGTCATGATTAGCCAGACTTAAGAACAGATGCTGTGTTTGACCGTAGCAGACCCCCAGGTTGGCAAGTGTAAGCTAAAGTAAGCGCAGCTGGCAAGGGGTGACCTCTTCATAAACGCAACATATCAGGAGCACACTTAAAGGACAACCAAAGGATGGAAAGCTGGGATAGCATGCACATTTCACAACTAAAATAGAGGAACCAAAACAGGTCTAATATGTCACGAACATGTACAAAAGACAAGATCCCTCAGGAGGGAAGAAAAAGCATGATTTAAAACCTTTTCATCCACAGAACTGCTATCTGAAAGAGAATCAGGAAAAGAAGGGATAAATGTTAGATGGAGTACTTTTTCAAGAAAATCATTTAAACATATACATGAACAAAGTGTTAATATGCTACATTGTTTAAAATCATAAATAGAGTTTCAAGGCTGAACCCCAAGGGAACAGGGATAGTTGGTTTTCATAATTTAAGGAGCTGAAAAATGTAACAGAATGCTTGAAAAGTATAATAGGGTAATTATGGGATTTAATGAAAGACAACATATCGTATTAAGAAAAGAATACACTGAAGAATTAGAAGTCTTGGGCTCAGGCTAGGGCTTTGCCACTGACTAAGCACATTGGGCATACTATCAAATTCTTCAGAGCTGCGGTCTCCAACTCGCAGGCTGTGGACTGGCGGTGTCCATGGCCTGTTAGCAACTGGGGTACACAGCAGGAATTGAGTGGCAGGTGAGTCAGCAAGCAAAGCTTCATTTGTATTTACAGTCACTGTCTCCCATCATCCCCAGAAAGGACAGTCTAGTTGCAGAAAAACAAGCTCAGGGCTCCCCCTGATTCTGCATTATGGGGAGTTGTATAATTATTTCATTATATATTACAATGTAATAATAATAGAAAT